CAATGATTTAAGTAAACTCTTTGCTGTTTTTAGTTTTTAAAATGAGACAGACATAGTTTACTGCTTGGCTAGCATGCATGAAGCCCTCTACTCCAGCATCACAGAAGGGAAACATAAAAGGTTTATTAGAGCAAAAGAATTCTGGAAAAATGCTGAGTTTTTATTTTAACAAGGATTTTCAGTTTCACATCAGAATCTTGGAAGATGGAGAAATCCAAACAGAATGATGTCTCAGATGGACAAGTGTTGTAATCTTTCTGTTCTTGGCCTCCTATCATCATTTTCTTGTCTTCCCCCCCCCCATGGGAAGGGGGTCTCTTTTATTCTTGATGACATAGGAGAAGACTGATGGCAGACTGATTACATTTGCAGAGGATAGGAAGTTGGGAGAAGTGTAGTATGTTGAAATGATGGTGTGAGAGAAGTCATTAAAATTATAGTGTGAAATCCACTGTGCAAAGGAACAAAGACAGCTGAGACCTTGGATTGTGTTAGCAGCATAAATAGAATTAGTAGAGGAAGGTGTAACCCTTATTTATTGCCCTCTGTTTTATGAACCACTTTGTTAACATTTACTGTGGGTGTTACTAGACAGATTTTACTTTATCTTTTGTTTGGAAGAAATCAACTAGAGCACCACAAAGGCACTTGATATATGTGATGAGTGAGTTGTTAAAACCATAAGTGTTGAGGGGTTAGGCATGGTATATACACTTAGTCCTAGCACTGGGAAGACAGGCAAGTAGATATCATGAGTTTGAGTTCAGCCTGGTCTACCTAGTGAGTTACAATAGAGGGGCTATGTAGAGACTGTCTGAGGAAGATAAAACCAAACAAACAAAATATATTTACTTTGCAAGAAAAAAATGAGGTTAATAGAAATATTAAGGGCTGCTCTGAGGAGGAAGGGATAGGGTTAAACAAGGTTATTACGGTGGGTAGAACTACATGATCTAGTCCATAGATGGTAGAAGCAGGTTTGGACTCCCTATGAAGAACCATTTAATTAATGAAATTTTACCTTGGAGATGAGTGGTTCTTGGTTCTCTTGGGATTTTGTTGACAAGATTAAAGGTTGGATAAGATCATTTAGAATTTAGTATCCATAGCAGAATCTGCAGAATATTGCTATGTCTCCCTATCACTACTACCAAAATCTGGTAGGTCTTTATTTTTATTTATTATATTTTGAGACAGGGTCATCCTGGAGCCTACTGTGTATGCTAACCTCAGAACTCAGGCCTGCCTCTGCACCCCACCCCCATGCTGGGATTAAAGGCATGTGCAACTATACCTGGCTGGCAATGTTTAAACTTTAAGAAACTTGCTGCCTCAAACAAAAGATATTTTGAGCCAGGTTTGGTGGTGTGCTCCATATTTTCTGCATATAGGAGGCTTAAAATAGAATGATCACCAATTTTAGACCAAAATAGAAGAGGAAGGGTTAAAGAGATGTCTCAGTGATTTAAGAGCTCTTGCTGTCTCCCAGAGGACCTGCTGTTCACAACTCCAGCACTGGGGTGAGGGGTGGGGGTAAGACAGTACAGAACACCCAGACCTCTTGATTTCTAACATGAGCACTGCACACATGTGGATTTACAAACAAAAATACCACTTTTGTGGCCCAAGTCTGCAAGTGTCTCTGCAGTCCCGTCCCCTCCCCCCCCATAAGTGGCTCTTGAGCTACTTTGGTAGAATTCCAGTTGAAATCTGAATATGTTATAATCCACTCTGTACAAGAATATAAATGCCTGTAAGATTGTGAACTTAGGTGTGTTAGAGTACAGGTTTTTTGTTATTTTTGCTGTTTATGCAATAATAAATGATTCCACTGCCCAATAACAGAGGTTTATGGCCTATAAATAAGTTGAAAAGCATTGCTCTGCAGGATCTCATTCATTTGATAAATGACATGTTGACCTCCAGCATGTATGTATATATGTTTGTCATTTGAGTGTCTTGTGCCAAAAGAGAGTATTGGATCCTCTAGAAAGTTACAAGTGGTTGTGAGCCACCTTACTTAGATGCTGGGATCTGAACTCAGCCAGTACTATTGATGGCTGGGCCACCTCTCCAGCCCCCTGAAAAGTCAGTTTTTTATAATAACAATTAACTTTGGGAATAGCAGTTGGTATAATTCAATTGATGTCTTTAAAATACTGTTTGTGGCTAGAGACTGGTTCAGTGGTTGATAACACTGGCTGCTCTTCAGATGATCCAGTTTCAGTTCTCCCCACCTATATGATAGTGGCTCACAACCATCCATAAATAACTCCTGTTTGAGGGGATCTGATGCCTTCTTCTGAACTCTGATTAAAAAATAAAGTGACTACTCTTCCCAACCTAAAAGGAAACTTGAAAAATGCCAAAAAGCTGGGAATAAGTTTACATGAAAGTAGGGAGATAGAAGTAATAACAACTGATATATTTGTTAGATAGTCATTATTTATGTAGCGCTCATCCTCGGGGCAATCTTGAGTAACATTAAGATTTCACTTTTGGTGGGTGTAGTGGCATATACTTTTAATCCAGAGGCAGACAGTTCTCAATGAGTTCAAGCCAGCCAAGGCTAGATAGTGAGACCCTGTCTTTAAAAACTTAAAAAAAAATGCATATTTGTAATTATGTGTGGGTGTGCGCATGTGGAGTCCAGATGAATGAGTAGTGTTCTAGAGTTTTAAGAATTTTGAGCCACCTACTGGGAGTGGAACTGGTCAAGGGCCACTTTAGCCACTGAACCATGCCTTCAGCCCTACTCTTGAGTAGTTTGTATTCCTCCTGTTTTACAACTGAAAAACATGGTCTGTGAGGAGGAATTCCTTACTCAAGGACATAGAACTAGTTTGTGGCAGGGCCCTGATTTACTTAATTTCAGTTATTGTGCTATGTTGAAATGGTACATTTGCTCACATTTCTGGTAGTTGCTGTTCACCTGAAGAGTTAGTTCTGCTTTGCATTTACATAGTAGCAGTTTGAGACTAGAAGCAGCTTAGTCCACATCAGACTCTTGACATTCCTGCCTTCACTTCCTGGGGACTAGATGACAGGTGTGCTACCATTTCTGGCTGTCTAGTAGGATTTTGAGAAGACTTGTTGTTTTGGCTAGAAATAAATAGAACATGTCATGCCCTTGTACTTTATTAATCCTCCTCTTTAAATGTTAGGTTTTGATCATGGTAGATTTCCTCAGCTTCCAGTTCATTAAAAAATGTTCTTTAGCCCTACAACAGGCATCCAAGTACACTTCTCAAGTTCCTTATGTGGAATGCTGTATATGACCTGTGCATATTCTCCTGTATACTTCAAAGTCATCTCCAGATCTCATAGTTTTCATAGAACAAGACAGAAGGCAGAGCAGGGCGTGGTGGCACACACCTTTAATCCCAGCACTCAGGAGACAGAGGCAGGCGGATCTCTGTGAGTTCGACACCAGCCTGGTCTCCAGAGCGAGTGCCAGGATAGTCTCCAAAGCCACAGAGAAACCCTGTCTGGAAAAAAACAAAACAGAACAGAACAGAAGGCAGAATTCCATTGGTTAGGTGTGAGGTACACATCTGTAATTGGAGCAGGGGAGGCAGGAGGATCCTCAGTTTGAAGTCAGCTTTTGCTACATATTGAGATACTGTCTCAAAATAAAAAGCAAACACCCAAGTTAGGTGCCCTGACAACCACCTAACTCCAGCTCTGGGGATGTGAGACCTTCTGCCCTACATGAGTACCAGAACACATTTGGTATGCATGTACATACTTAAGTAAGGTATATGGACATGCAAAACACCTTTTTTTGAGCATCTTTTGACTACAGTAAATTTTTTTTCTTCTAAAGCTTAATTTTATCATAATTTGGGAGCATTATAACATATATCTTTTTGCCTAGCAGTAGTCTTGGTTTATCAAGTATAAGTGGCTATGTATAGAACAGTAAAAATAAAATAACACCCCCCCCCAAAAAAAAGAAAAGGGTGGCCCAACATTCAGGAGGCAGGGGCAGGCAGATCTCTGTGAATTCTAGACCAGCCTGGTCTACACATCCTGGTTGTTCCAGAACAACCAGAGCTACATGGTGAAACTGTGTCTCAAAAAAACAAAAGAAAAAAATAACAACCAGACATGGTGTCAAATACCTTTAATCTTAGTACTGGGGAGACAGAAGGAGAGAATCTCTTGAGTTAGAGGACAGCCTGGTCTATATAAGCAAGTTCTAGAACAGCCAGAGCTGTATAATACAGAAAAAATTGCGGGGGGGGGGGGTAAATAACACTCAAAATTTTGGCCCATGAATATTTATAGGTAGATTATAGGTAGACTTTTCTGTCTCCCCAGCCACTCCCCAAAATAAACTCATAGAGAGTTAAGTTTTATTATGAATGCTCCCTGTAGCTTAAGCTTGTTTTTATCTAACTCTTATAACTAAATTAACCCATTTCTATTAATCTATATGCTTCCCCGAGGCTTGTTTACCTCATGTACAAACTGACCCTGCTGCTTCTCTGCTTCTCCTGAGGTTCCACCCTGCTTCCTAGTGCCCTCCTAGTCTCACTCTCCTGCCCACTCTATTCCTACGCAGCTGTAGGCTGTCGGCTCATTATTAACCAATGAGAGTAATACATATTTACAGTGTCCAAAGATTTTCTACAGCAATGTATAATAAATGTGGATATCTACCTATATATAATGAATACATGTGGTGAACAGCCCTGCTTGCCTGTTCTGCTCTTGGGGAGGTGGGAAGAATAGTTTAAGCTGTCACTGAGGTAAGTGGTGTAAGTTTGAGAGTTGATTTTTGTCTGGTTTGGTTTTTGTTGTTACTATCTCACTATGTAGACAGACCAGGCTAGCTTCAAACTCAAAGATCTGCCTGCTTTTCTCTTCCAATAACTGGAATCGTGTATCATTACACCTGACCTGGGAACTATTCTGTTTATAAAACTGAAGTGTGTATTCTGGTGTTTTAGAAGTCAAACTTTTTTTTAATTATATAAATGTGTCTCTTTTTGCAGAAATAGGAAGGTCGTTGATTACTCACAGTTTCAGGAATCAGATGATGCAGGTATGTTTGTGATTTCTACAAGTCATATATTGTCTTGACAGACCTGTCAGCTTATGTGCTTTTTGTCATGCTTAAGGTCTACTATTTAAAAGTACCCAGCGATCTGTGTCAAAGAAAGCAAAACATGGAACTTGCCCTCCCTCCCCCCTTTTCTTTTTAATACAAGGTTGATTATATAGCCTAGATTGTCCTTGAACTCAAAATGTTCTTGCCTTAGCCTCACAATTGCTGGATTGCTGGTGTGTGCCACTATGCTTGGCATTTAGCTTTTTCTGTAAATCATTGAAATAAACACCTGACTTTTTTTTTCTTATCTGGTTCTAGGCTCCAAAGGTTAAATGTCCAGTAATTTATGATGCATTGTTTATGTAAAATACCTACTGCTAGCTAAGCACAGTAGTATGACCAATAGTCCAGGTTGTACCTGTAGAATAGGTTGTTTTTTTTAGAGCAATACTGTTACAGAATCTATTTTATTTACAATTAAGGAAACTGAAGCAGAGTTGATACTTAGTTGGCATGTGGCTGTTTTGACCTTTTTCTTTTTAACTTTAACTTTTAAAAATGTAGTTAAGGGGAGCTGGAGAGATGGCTCAGAGGTTAAGAGCACTCACTAACTGCTCTTCCAGAGGTCCTGAGTTCAATTCCCAGCAACCACATGGTGGCTCACAACCATCCGTAATGAGATCTGGTGCCCTCTTCTGGCCTGCAGGCACACATGAAGGCAGAACGTTATATACATAATAAATAAATAAATCTTTTTTAAAAAAATCAACCTATATGGCATATTTTAAAAGAAAAAATGTAGTTAAGGGTCTGGTAGCTTGGTGCCCAGCCTGAGAACTTGAATTTGATCTCCAGAATGCACATAGTGGAAGTAGAGAATCAATTCCTGCAAGCGAGCTGTCCTCTTGTCTTCTACACGTACAACCTGGCAAGCATGCCCCCCCACACAAATAAATGTGGTTAGGGTTTTTGGTGGTTTTTGTTTCTTTGTTTTCTTTTTTGAGACAGGGTCTCTGTAGCTTTGGAGCCTATCCTGGAACTTGCTCTGTAGACCAGGCTGGCCTCGAACTCACAGAGATCTACTTGCCTCTGCCTCCCGAGTGCTGGGACTAAAGGCGTGCAGCATCACTGCCCTGCGTGGTTAAGGGTTGGGCACTGCACCAATTTCACTTACTTAGGTCTATTTTTCTTTTTTCTTTTTTCTTTTAGTTATTTTTAAGAAGCCGAAGATGGTACACTAGTTAATAGCATATGCTGCTGTTGCAGAGGATCTGAGTTCAGTTCTCAACATCATGATGAGCTCATGTGCACATAACCATGTACACCCTACCCACACATAATTAAAATAAACATTGCTGATAATGGTTAGGATATTCTATTAAGGAATTCATAATGAATTCAGCAACTTAAGAATTGCTGAAGTCCCAGGCTACTTCTAGGTTCTCACTGTTACACATGGTAGTGGAGTAACTAACAGCTTTGGGAGTAATCATCATTTAAGGTAAGGTTTTCTTGTGGGGCTTTTGCAGTTGGAGGTATTTTCCTAAAGTTATGAGTATCCAGAGTGCATTATAAGTTTAATACTTTGCTTTAAGAGTAATTTGCTTGATCACAATATTATGTTAAGATTGTAGGTTTTAGGTTTTTTAAGATGTTTATAATAAAATCATACTACTGCAACATGAAGAAAACTAAATGGGAATGGTATAAAATGACAAGCTATGGTGTAAATGTATAAGATGTGTGTATATAAGGACTAGACAGTAATATAATTTATTGCATATTATTACATAAAATAGGTGGGACTGGCGAGGAATTTTAAAGTTCTATTTATTTTTAGTTGTCTGTATGCTTGTCCATAATAAGTATGTATAAGTGTGGGCACATGGGGAAATCAGAAGAAAACTTTTGAGGGTGAGTTCTCTCTTTCTACGATGACTTCTGGGTATCTAAACCAGGTTTCAGGCTTGCACAGCCAAGTGCTGTTAACTGCTGGGCCATCTTGCTGGACTTTTTCAATTTATTTATTTTTGTGGTACTGGAGATAGATTTCAACCTCCTGCATGGTAGGTAATAAATACTTCTGGCCCCAGTTTGTTTTAAGAATACTCTTTTGGGGCTGGAGAGATGGCTCAGAGGTTAAGAGCACTGACTGCTCTTCCAGAGACCTGAGTTCAATTCCTAGCAACCACATGGTAGCTCACAACCATCTGTAATGAGATCTGGTGTCCTCTTCTGGTGTGCAGGCATGCATGCAGATAACTGTACACAAATAAATAAAATCTTAAAAAAAAAACCCACATGTTTAAAAAAAAAAAAAGAATACTTTTTTGTTTGTATACGTGTTTGGCCCTCATGTACATCTGTGTACCACATACATCCCTGGTGTCTGTAGAGGCCAGAAGAGGGCGTTGGATCCTGGAACTTGAGTTGTGATCTTCCATGTAGGTGCTAGGAATCAAACCCAGGTCTTCTGGAGAACAGCATGTGCCATCTCCTCAGCTCCCCCTCTCCCTCCCCCTTTTAACTAAGACACCCTAAGGGAAATCTGGTCACATTTATTTGAATAGCATGAGGATTAACATGTGATTTCAGCATGTAAATGTCATTATTAACTGGATTTGAAAAATTGCTTGTTTAGATGAAGATTATGGAAGAGATTCAGGCCCTCCTGCTAAGAAAATTCGGTCATCTCCTCGAGAAGCTAAAAATAAGAGGCGATCTGGAAAGAATTCACAAGAAGACAGGTAGGAGGTGTCATTGTTTTATTTTCCTTAATTACATTGTCAGAACTCTGAAATGAAAACAGTCTGTGTACTATAACTGGGTGAAGTTTCTATATGCAGTCTGTTTCATGTCATATAGGCTGTGCTTCTAGGCCTCCAGGTCAGCCTCCTCTCCAGAAGCAGTTGGTCTGAACTTTGGATCAGAAGTGATCTCCAGGAATGCTTTTTGCTGCTTCCTCAAACTTAAGAGCATTAGCCAAAACAATGTTTTAAGTTTGTAATTTGTTTCTAAGGTTGGTATCGACACTTGATTGTGGTGATCAATAGCAGAAAAACGTTAACTAAAGCTTGTGGAAGTCTAAGCTCTACATCCTATTGAATTTTACTCTCAAAGTGAGTCTTGTTCAAGTAATCATTTTGGATACTTGCCTCTCTGATTTTTTTCTTGTTGTAGTGCTAAGAATGGAACCAGGGGCCAGGGGTGGTGGCACATGTCTTTGATCCCAGCACTCGGGGGGCAGAGGCAAGCAGATCTCTATGAGTTCCAGATCAGCCTGGCCTACAAGAGCTAGTTCCAGGACAGCCTCCAAAGCCACAGAGAAACCCTGTCCCTGTCTCAAAAAACCAAAAAAAAAAAAAAAAGAAGAAGAAGAAGAAGAAGAAGAAGAAGAAGAAAAAGAAGAAGAAGAAGAAGAAGAAGAAGAAGAAGAAAAAGAAGAAGAAGAAGAAGAAGAAGAAGAAGAAGAAAAAGAAGAAGAAGAAGAAGAAGAAGAAGAAGAAGAAGAAGAAGAAGAAGAAGAAGAAGAAGAAGAAGAAGAAGAAAGAAAAGAAAAGGAACCAGGATCGTAAATGTGTTGGGCAAACATGGCAAACATTCTGCCATTGAGCTAGTTATCTCCAGACCTTTTCCCTTAGTTTCACAAATTGCATGAATTGGATTTAACTGTAACATAACTACATTGAGAGGAGAATGATAGAGTTTTTCTCCTGTTTTAAAAACACATACTTTTCATGGTGTATAACATGTATAATCTGATGATGATGTAAGAATGTTAGTGTCAGCCCATGCTGTGCTTTACGTATATTGTCATTTAGTTCTCATAACACCACCTATAAGGTTGAGGGGTTCAGTGAATGACTTTGAAACCATACTCTGTAGACCACAAATTCCACTTTTAACCATCAGGCTATACCACATCCAGATAAGCAATTCACAGAAATTAAATAATATTTCTCAGTTATTCTGAGACTTATGGAGACTGGAGAAATGGCTCAGTGGTTAAGAACACTGACTGCTCCTTTAGAGGACCCTGGGTCCATTCCCAGTATCCACATAATAGCTCACATCTGTCTATAATCCTAGATTCAGGGGATCCAATGACATCTTCTGGTCTTAATGGGCACCAGGCACACATTTGGTGCAAGACACATGCAGACAAAACACCCATACACATGAAATAATAATTTTAAAACAAAATTAGGACTTAGAATATGAAAATCCCTATAAATGTATTTATTTACTGGGAGACAGATCTTCTCGAGTCTAGGGTATCTCTCTCTTACCCAGTTTTAAATAGCCCAACTTAGAAATATTTTTTATTGTATTCACTTCTATTTCTCCTAAATATGAGAGCCATTTATGATCTGTTAACATTGTCTCATCAGTGTCTATATCTGGCCTGAATTTTTTTTTTTTTTTTTTTGGTCAGGGGTCAGAGCATATAGCTCAGATTAATTAACCTTTAGGCTGGTTGATCTTAAACCTATAAGCCAATGTTTTGTTGAATTTTCTATCCATTCTATTTAAAAATTGAGCTTTTCCCTGACTTTGCTCATTGAAATAGCCAGAGAAAAATCATACACTTCATTAAAAAGTTAGATTTATAAACTTTCCTTCATTGTTTTTTGTTTCTAAATTTGTTGTGGCCCTTGGAAAAAGGATTAAACTGGGAGTTTTGCTCATGCTGGGCCCTTGGGGTTTTTGTTTGTTCAAGATACTTATTCCCTTTCCTATTGATTCTTGGGACTCAGGTTTATTTTTCCATGAGGAGTAAAAATTGTACCTATTCACTAGCATCCCTGTAAGGTAAGGGAACAATGAAGCAGTTTCATTCCTCAGCATCTGTTTGAATGTTTGTGGTTTTTCAAGACAGGGTTTCTCTGTGTAATAAGCTGTGGGTGTCCTAGAACTCATGGATGTCCGCAGGCCTCTGCCTCCCAAATGCTAAGATTAAAGGCATGTGCCACTATACCCAGTTTAGGGTCCTGTTCTTTAGTTCAGGCTGGCCTAAAACACACTCTGTAGCCCAGGATGAGTCTGAACTGATGTCAGTCCTCCTGTCTGAGCATCCTTGCTGCTGGGATTACAAGTGTAGCCGCTCAGCCCATGGATCATTTAGACTTTGATCTAAGACTTATAAACATTTTCTTTTTCTTTTTTCTTTACAGTGAAGACTCAGAAGAAAAAGATGTAAAGACTAAGAAGGATGATTCTCACTCAGCAGGTAAACTATATTGCAGTAGGAATAATTTATATACTCTTCATTTATTAACAAGCAATTTTGTATGTCAGATAGAGTAGCTGGAGAAATGGTTCAGCAATTAAGAGCATTGGCTGCTCTTCTAGGGGACCAGGGTTCAATTCACAGCACCCACATGGTAGCTCACATCTATCTGTCTATAACTCCAGTTCCAGAAAACTCAACATTCTCATACAGATATATATACATGTAGACAGAACACAAATGCACATAAAAAAAATAAAGAAAATAAAAACAATTTTAAAAAATATTTTGCTTTGCCAGGCAGTGGTGGTGCACACCTTTAATCCCAGCACTCAGGGAGGCAGAGGTAGGTAGATCTCTGTAAATTTGATGCCAGTCTAGTCTACAGAGTTCCAGCACAGCCAGAACTATACAAACCCTGACTTGAAAAACAAAAGTTGTTTTGTTGTTTGAGACAGGGTCTCACCATGTAACCGTGGCTGTGCTGGAACTCATATAGACCAGGATAGCCTCAAAGTCATAGAGATCCAACTGTCTATTTCTTCAATGCTGAGATTAAAGGTGTGTGCCACCATTCCCAGCTGCTATTCAACTTTTACATGAATAAAGAAATTACAGCAAACTGAGTAAATGCCATTTGAAATAATGGAAAAATAGTTTATAAAAAATTTTTGATTAAAAGAATTAATGTGAATGAGGTATGGTAGAATATACCCTTTAATACTAGCATTCCAGATTCTGAGACAGGAGAATTGCTGCAAAGCACAAAGCCAGCCAGGTGGTAAAGTAAGGAGATTCTGTCATAAAATTATGGGAGGACTAGAGAGATGGCTCAGCAGTTATAAAGCTGCTTTTTTGTTTTTTTTGGTTTTTCGAGACAGGGTTTCTCTGTGGCTTTGGAGGCTGTCTTGGAACTAGCTCTTGTAGACCAGGCTGTTCTCGAACTCACAGAGATCCGCCTGCCTCTGCCTCTGCCTCTGCCTCTGCCTCCCGAGTGCTGGGGTTAAAGGTGTGCGCCACCAGCACCCGGCTTAGAGCTGTACTATCTAGTGACCCAGAGATAATGTAATGTGCTTTGCCATTCCATTCATGTACTTTGTGAGCCCTAATTTGAATTTCTTACCTTTATTAAGATTTTTAATACTTCAAGATGCATGACTCTGTACTTGTATTAAGCACAACTCTTGCTAACTGGATTTAGTTTAGGGTCTGACAAAGTCATATTATTCTTTAATTGTCTCTAGATGGGATCTTTGGCACTAGAAATAGTCAAAACATTGACCATGAAGGCGAGAGATTTACAAAAACCCAACCATTGTTTTAGGAACTCTTTGACAGTTAGTAGTTACTGGAAATTGGCCACTAGTAGGTTGCCCATGCTCAGAGAAGACCTGTCTCAAAAAAAAAAAAAAAATCAAAATGTATATATTTTTATTCTTAAAGAATAAATAAAGGGTGCTATGTATTTTGATTTGGGGGTGGTTTTTGGCATTTCGGAACAAGGTTTCTTTGTGTAGCCTTGGTTGTCCTAGAGCAAGCTTTGTAGATTAGTCTGGCCTTAAACACAGAGGTCTACCTGCCTCTGAGTGCTGTGCTGTGCTGGGATTAAAGCACTGCCTGGCTGGGTTTTTTGTTGTTTGTTTGTTTGTTTGTTTGTTTCTCTCAGAAGAAAAAACATGGACCATGGGAAGCATTATGGGACTGTTTTAAAAGTATGTTAGCTAAATCTTACTAGAGTAGGGAAGCCTAAAAGTTCAGGAAAGAGCCATAAGTAGAGACTAGTAAAATAAAGCTTAGTCTAGAGCTAGTAGGCTAGCAGCTTGACCTTCTTTTGCGGGCTAAATAACTGCATTGATGAAGCATTAATTAATTCATTGTAGTATATGAGAGTAATTTTTATAAGTTTGTCCTTGGATCTTTAGCTAGCTCATTTAATTAATGTACTTTTCCCTCTGCCTGACTTTAGATTGAAAAGGTCACCTAGTCCATTGTATGGAGTAGTAATTTAGCATGGTTTTTATGTGGTTTATATCTTAGGATAGAGATAATTGGAAGGCTTCCTTACTGCTTCTATTTTAAAATATTTTTCTTTAGCTTCTAAAATCAGTAAACATAGATTGGCATGTAATTTTAGGATTAAACAGTTATAAATTTAAGTGTTCCTAGTTTAATTCAGCTTTGCAGTTCTTTAAAAAACTACATGCCTATGGTAGGCATGATGACAGGCAGTCTCCATAAATTTCTTTTGAGACAAGGTTTCTCTGGCTTTGAGGCTGGGTCGAACTCACAGTGATCCACCTGCCTCTGCCTCCCGAGTACTGGGATTAAAGGCATGCGCCACCACTGCCCAGCAGGTCTCCATAATTTTGAGGCCACCCAAAATATATCACAAGTACATTTATTTTTTATTTAAATTGATTCTTAACATTAGCACTCTGTTTTGCAAGATTATTTTTTCTTTTTTTTCTTTTTTTTATTCCTTTATTGATTCTTTGAGGGTTTCATATCATGCACCCCAATTCCATTTACCCCCTGGTCCTACCACCAAAGAAAACAAAACATAGTAAGCAAGCAAACAAAAATGAGGGGGGGGAAAACCAACAACAAACCTCTTTGCTTCTCTGTCTTTCTTTCCTGCCTCTCCAACACTTCTTCATTCGTCCTGGTGGCATTGGAGGCCTTGGTGTGTCACACAGTAAACCTTTTTGTCCTATCAGCTTTACTTACAGATGTTCATTACAGTGAGTCACTGGTCTGGTTCAAGGCCTCTGATTTCTGGAACACCATCATCATTAGATCCTCACTGAGACTCCTGTGATATCCTGTGGCCTTCCTTAGTCATTCAAGAGCTCCAGCAGGTCTTAGATGGGGTAGATATTAGGGTAGGCCAACCCAAGGCCTGGCTGTGGGCCTCAGTGGTAGCTGAGCCGGTCAGTCCAGGCCACTGGACTGGCTAGGAGTCAGGGTCAGCTCCCCAGCATCCATTGGTTTCAGTTTGCCCTCTGCTGGGGTGTGACCATCCTGAGTGCAAGGGCCAGCTCTCCCAGGTCCAAACGAAGGGTGAAGCTGGCTCAGCATGGCCCTCTGATTTCATCTTGCATGTTTGCTAAAGCCCCCTGAGATGAAACGGGCCACAGACATCAACCACAGACCCACACGTGGCCCTCAGTAGCAGCTTGGGCCCAGATGATATCCTGGCTCTGGGTGGAAGCAGTGGCCTCTCAGGTTGGAATGGTTCTAGCAGCCACATGACCACTGAACACCACCAAGGCCTCAGGTTGCCCCCCTAACCCTTGGCTTCTAAGTAACTTTTGGTGGCAATATGGGACTCAGACTTTAGCACAGACCCTAGCCATGGTAGGACCAGGACCCAGACCTGGTCCTTTGGCAGCAGCTATGTCACCACTGCTCCCGGTGGGAGTTTAGGCCAATCAGTTCAGCACAGGCCCCAGCCACAGTATAGCCCTCGGACACCAACATGGCTCCCAATCATGTGTGTCTTCAGGCCTTCGAAGGTAACAGGAGCCCCAGACATCAGCACAGACCCTGACATGGCCCTTAGCTGCAGCTCTAACCCAAATGTCACTATGGCACTGAGTGGCAACATGGGCCACTCAGATCTATATATATCCTGGCCCTTGGACACCAACCTGGACTCAGGTGGCTGATCTGACCCCTGGGCATTCTCATGGCCCTCAGTGACGACAGGTACCACATCAATCCAGATCTCCCACCAAACTGCAAGTTCCAGCCCAGATCCTGGGCCTCTCTGTGGGCCTTGTTGGCAACCTGAACTACGGATTTCAGCACAGACCCAGACAGCAGCTTGGCCTGGTCAACATCTTCACTCTCCAACCACACAGATCAGGATGGGTCTGGCAGCAGCATGGCTCTTGGACATCAACAAGGCCACAGGTTGCAGGCCAAGCCCCGAGGCTTCATGTAGCCTTTGGTGTAACATGGGCCATGGATATTAACATAGACCTCAGCTATGGTGGGACCACGGACCCAGAAATGGTCCTCTGCAGCAGCCTGGGTCTGGTTGTCACCATGACCCCAAGTGGCAGAGAAGGCCATCCAGATTGGCAGCCCAGACCAGTGGCACTTGATGGCAATAGGAGTCACTGACATCAACATAAATCCTGGCTACTATATGACCAGGAACTGAGATATGGCCCTGGATGTCAGGCAGACCTCCCCACTCAATGTACTCCTCACCGCCTTCATTATGGTCCCAGGTGACAAGCAGGCCTCCAACATGAGCCCACTTCTCACTCTCTTCATTTTTTCCTTTCTGTGTCTTTCCATAACACATGAACCATTCTGCTTCTCTTTATCTGCTATTTCTCCACCACATAATTGTTTACTATAATGAGGCCCACCTGACTGCTTGATTGTGGCGCCTCTATGTAGTGCAGATAGATCTTGAGCTCTTCATCCTCTGGGTGGAGCTACAAATGTGTACCAACATATCTGACTTTAAGGATTTTCTTGTTATGTGGGTGTTGGATCCCCTGGAACAGGAATTATAGATAGTTGTGAGCTGTTGTGTGGGTGCTGGGACTCAAACCCAGGCCTTCTGGAAGATCAGCCAGTGCTCCTAACCACTGAGCCATCTCTCCAGCCCCAACTTTGAGGAATTTTTTTGTTTGTTTGTTTTGTTTTGTTTTTGTTTTTCGAGACAGGGTTTCTCTGTGTAGCTTTGGAGCCTGCCCTGGCACTCAACTCTGGAGACCAGGCGGCCCTCCAACTCACAGAGATCCCCCTGCCTCTGCCTCCCGAGTGCTGGGATTAAAGGCGTGTGCCACCACCGCCCGGCCAACTTTAAGGAATTTTTAAAGGTAGATTTTACTCCTTTCTGCGTGAAGTTAAATTGATATATATATATATATATTGTCAGCCTGAAAATTCTTTGATTGTTGAAGTTGCTGTGTCACAGTAACTTTTATATTGCAGATGACAGTGAAGACGAAAAAGATGATCATAAAAATGTACGCCAGCAACGACAGGCAGCATCTAAAGCAGCTTCTAAACAGAGAGAGATGCTCTTGGAAGATGTCGGCAGTGAGGAAGAGCCAGAAGAAGATGATGAAGCACCATTCCAAGAGAGTATGTGAAGTAACTTACTGACTGTTCTTTATACATTTAGACAGGCTCTCCTGTAGCCCTTGTTGGCCTCAATTTATTGTGTAGCTGAGGATGACCTTGAAGTATTGATCTGCCTGTACCACCTCTCCCAGTTTCATGGAGAAGTGAGGCTCTAGCCCAGGGCTTTGTGCATGTGAGGCAGGTACTCAGACAATGGAGCTTCATCTCCTTTGCAATTGTAGTGTATGACCTTGATATTTTCTAAGAATCTAAATGTTAGTATCCAGTCCCTTGCATTAGGCAGATAGAGCTGTGCAGCTGAGTGTGGTGGAAGACACCTTTAATCCTAGCACTCAGGAGGTAGAGGCTGGCCTGGTTTACAGAGTGAGTTCCATGACAGCCAGAGCTACGTCGTGAGATCCTATCTACCAAACAAAACAAAAGAATAAGACTATGGGAATAGGGAGATAGATGGCTCAGCTTTTCCTCCTTCAGAGATCCAACATCCTCTTCTGGAGCATCCCACACACTTGTGTGTTTATATAAGTGAAAATTTAAAACTTTTTTTTTTTTTTTTAAGAATCAGTAGAAATGGGGCTGGAGAGGTAGCTCAGTGGTTAAGAGCACTGACTGCTGCTCTTCCAGATGACCCAGGTTCAATTCCCAGCACCCACGTGGCAACTCAAATATAACTGTAACTCCAGTTCCAGGGCACTTGACACCAATGGCAAAACACAAATGCACATTAAATTAAAATTATAAATAAGTTAAAATTTCTTAAATTAAAAAAAGAATCTGTAGAATTTTCAGTAAATTTATCTAATCTTAAACTTAAAAAGGAGTTTCTTTCTACTCTTGGTATAGTCCACACTATACCCATTCTATAGTGGGTCAGGACAACTCTGACCAAGTTGGTAGTTTAACTCCTTGTTGAATCCAGTAATGCTTAACTCCCGAATCCTGTCCTCCAGTCATTCTCAGCATTCTTTCCCTTTGTTCACTTGGAAGGGTGTATACATTTAAGTTGGACGTTGAAATTCTTCTTTCCTCTCAGAAGATTCTGGCAGCGATGAAGATTTCCTAATGGAAGACGATGATGATAGTGATTATGGCAGTTCAAAAAAGAGAAACAAAAAGATTGTTAAGAAGTCCAAACCTGAGAGAAAAGAAAAGAAAATGCCCAAACCCAGACTAAAGGCTACAGGTGAGACCTGTGAAAGTAAAACTACATTTCTGCCTTAAAAGGTTTTTGAGAACTTCTCAACACAGATGCTTCATTAGGTTTCAGCATTGGCCTTGTATTTGGTAGAATACAAGAAATCCAAAAGGCTTTCACGTGTGCCTTTGGTCCCTTTGAGAATGCTGGGATTGGAGAGGTGGCTAGGTGAGTAGAAGCACTGGCTGGGCTTCCAGAGGACCCACATCCAGTTCCACAGCCACATCGGGTGGCTGATAGCCAGCCACCTTTGACCTCAGCTAACACTTCTGGCCTTTTTAGGAATGTGCACGTGTGTGCATACCCACATACAGGCACACACATAAATAAAAATAATAAAATAAATCTTGAAAAAAAGGAAAAATAATGGGCTGGCAAAATGGCTCAGTGATTAATTAAGAGCAGTGGCTGCTCTTCCAGAAGACCTCAGTTCAATTCCCAGCACCCACACTGCAGCTCATACCTGTCTATAACACAGGTTCCAGGGCTTCTGGCACCTCACATAGACACACATGCAGATAAAATACCAATGGACATAAAAATAAATAAATAAATAAATAAATAGTAAAAAATAAAAAGAACCTGTGTGCTTGGCTTGTATGTTGGTATGACTTGTTTGTATCAGGCATGGTGTTCCTCCCTGTGGTCACATAGTACTGACTGCTCTGTGGTTGGTCCCAGCAGCTAAGGAAGGCTCTCTAACAATACTGACAGTAGAAACAAAACCACCCATGACAATAAGGATTCATCTGGGTCTTCAAGGGTTCTGCCAGGTACTTTCCTAGTTGGATCTAGTTTGTTAAATCAGAAGTCAAGATTTGTTTATAGTTTTAATCTGGCAAATAGAATTCCTGAATTTCTTGTTGTTTTAAACTTACTCATCTCTACACATACTGTAGAGGATGATGGCACTCCAAAAACTGTTTGGCTCCAGTTTCTGCTCAGAATGCTACATTATTCTCATTAGGAGTAATAATGCTTTTTCTGTGGACATGTGTTTCCTTTTAAGAGAGGTGGGATTACTTTTTATATTTACAGACTTATATTTTTGTAGCTGATTTTTTTCTCTTTCTGTCCCCAAAATTGTTACTTTCTGTATTTCAGTGACGCCAAGTCCAGTGAAAGGCAAAGGAAAAGTGGGTCGTCCTACAGCTTCAAAGGCATCAAAGGAAAAAACTCCTTCTCCCAAAGAAGAGGATGAGGAAGCAGAAAGTCCTCCAGAAAAGAAGACCTCTGCAAGCTCCCCACTCGAGAAGTCTGGAGATGAAGGGTCTGAAGATGAAGCCCCATCTGGGGAAGATTAAAAGTGATGTTTGGGGAGAGATTTTATTAAAAAAAAAAAAATCAAAAAGGAAACCTATGTAGGACACGGTTTGGGCTGTGGCTTGACTCATGGGCTTTCAGTGCTATTTCATTTGTCTAAAATAATGTTTCTATCTCTATCTCTCACTCTCAAAACCATTGTATGTTGATAGTTTTAAGTTGCCATTTTGTCTAATGGTCTTATTTCTTTGCCAACCCCTCCTTCCGCCTCTCCTGTTGAAAGCCATGTCAATTAATCACTGGGTTGACTGCTTCGTCTTTGTATTTTTAATGGAAGTTAGGAATCCTACGGCTGTAAAGCAATAAGATTTGAGATGGATTCTATGGAAACTTTGCTTTTGCTAAAGAATAGCAACTTGAACAGTAATCAAAAAACTAGAAAGGTTTTAGTTAAAAATTACTCTTCTTTTCCTGTACGTTTGACAGACCAGTTGTCATTTAACATGAGCTTATATGTCTAAATCGTAAATGTCAAAAAGAATCATGACTCTAAACTTAACACTGATGAGGCAGTTGGGAGGTGAACATGAATTCTGGGTTGTTAACCCAGCACTCACATTATCCCCCCCGATGTGGAGGAAATGGGCTTCCTGGAACTTGTCTGGAAATGTGGGCTTTCTTATTTTATACTTGTTATTCTCAAAGAGACTCAGAGCCAGTGGTCCTTTTGTCTCAGTAAGTTTTTCTAAAAAATGGGCCACCAGGACCCAGAATCATTTTTAATTTCTTATTTCATTCATGCTTTCATTGATTCCTGTTTTTAAATATATTTATATATATATCCTGATTTTTTGGATAGTTTTACCAATGATCAAAAAACTAAAAAGAGATTCCCTAGAATTTTGATGACAAGATAAGTGTATGCCTCACAGTGCATTTCTTTACAGACTGATGATGTTAAAAGTTTTAAGCAAATAAAGTTTGAGTTAATGTGAAGCTCATATACAAAGGATTGGAATTTATCCTTTATAAATACATATAATTGAAGTTCCTTTATGCTATAATTGTGTTTCAATGGCCCATGAACCATCTCAGTTTTATTTGGGGGTAGAAATGATTTCCCTTTGATACTTAACACTTCGTACTAGCATACCACGGTACACATCCCACAAGTTCGTCCTGCTACTACAGAGTCTCGTAATTCTACCATGGAATACCATTTTCATTTACTGACAGCATGGGAGTATGTTAAATGCTGTTTCCATACTGTGGGGTTGTTTTGCTTCTTAGTTGTTATGACACCCTTCTTTCTGTTTATGTTTCTTAAAGCAAGAGCCTGAGCCTCAACAGGATGAGTGAACTGTATTTTAGGGTGCCTATGTGCCATTGATAACAGTCTAGACACCTTAGCAGAGCATCAGGACATAGAGCTATAGGTTTGATTCTTCATATTCAGATCCCATGCTCCAATAGAAGCAAAGTTTAGGGGTCCTATTATGCTACTAAATTAAGATTTAGTGGAATTAAATTTCTGTATATTTTCTGCACTTAAGCTAAATTTGTTCCCTCAGTATTCTGCTTTTGTGTTTTTTAAGTGACATGTTTGTCTCAGACAATGTCATTTTCTTATAGGTATTCATAGGACAAAGGGTTATTTAAGAAATATTTTTACTTGTGGTTTTTAAGACACTTTAAAGAACACTCTTAGATCTGCTTTAAAATAAAATAAAGTAAATAAAACACCTAGTGGCAGAAAGTCATTTCAACCCTGCACTGTTAATAAATGAGTATTAAATATGGCCAAAAATAGAAACTTGAACATATAAGGTGTTGGATTATTGTATTATGTGATGGAATATATAGTTGTGAACTGTGTAGTGGAGTATTACAGATGATCTGTTTGCTTTAGTGGGCTTGCTCAGGTACCCATCCTTAAGCAAAGAGGAGACTCACCCTTGTTTCCATCAGGCATCTCTCCCTTTTAGGGGTTTACAACTCAGTCTTACATTCCTAGTGACATTTGGGCTTTTCTTAGGTTATGTTTCATGAACATTTGTGGATATGGTCTCTTTCAACTTCGGCCTTTTTTTTTTTTTTTTTTTTTTTTTTAAGTCTCATTAATACATCAATCTGCACTAACATCTCTGGTTTTAGCTATAGTTGAGAAATATTACTGTCTTGTAGTTGCTTGTGTGTGGGTGGGCTTCTTGTTCCGAGACCCTTTTAAAACTGACTCATTAGACTGAAAAGTCGTTTTTAATTATAGGCTTCTTAGGTTGATTGGTGTCTCAAGTGAGCACATAGGCTCCAAATGACCTTTACTTTCACTTTTTTTTTGGTTGTTTATAACAGTGGTCTTCCTTCAAATCATGCATGCAAATAGGAAGACATTTAATGTGACTCAACTGGAAACAGGTGCTTGGCAGTTCGGTCACAGCTATAAGCTCATAATGACTGACCCTTGGCACCTCCGTGGCTTACTGTCTATCCTCTTATTTTTTTTCCCCTGTGTGCCTATAGTAAGGTGGCAACGCATTCACTGTCTTGCTTTGCAGCGCTCAGGAAATGGGATGTTCATTTGAAGGTGCTTGTCTGTTGTCTAATCTCTGCTAGGTTTACCTCTGACAGTGCAGCAGCTCTGCTGACTAACACTACATTCTAGTTCTTGAGACTCTATTAAAGTCTTTCTTTCCCCCAGCCAGAAATGGTAGCCTCTGTCTCACCCAGTGGTAACTTACTGCTGCTTTTAACCCTCCACCCCAAATGGGATTTGGAGAGGAAACCCAAAGGATATATTTAAAATACCTCCCACTCAGAATTAACCCTTCAAAGAAAAACTAATGATAGGATGTTTCTTCTAAAGTGGTAAGAGAATCCCCCACAAAAGCCTTTTTCTGAAGAAAAAACAAATAAACAAAAAAACCCCAGCATTTTGCGTACCCCGGGCTGTCTCAAACCCCTGCTTTTTTTTTTTTTAACAATTTTTATTTCATTCTTAAATACTTTTATTTGGTATTAGTTCAAATAGCATTTTCTTCCACATAACGAATCAGTAGTGAAATTTGAGGTTATAATCTAGTAAGATTGTTGACTTAAAAAAAAAAAAAAAATCATGGTTTTACTATGTAGCCTGGCTGAGAGTCCTCCTTCCCCCTCCACTCTTAACACTGCTGGGAATTATACTGCCATGACAAGTGATACTTTCTGAAGATAGATTTTTTTATTTTTATGACCATGAGCATGCAGGTTGGAGAGGGGAGTAGTGTAAACAAACTCAGGTTCAGGGGCTGCTGCAAGAGCAGAATTTAGAAGCAACAGAAAGTCTTGTTGCTGTTATAGAATGAGTGCCTGTCAGAACAGTTCTCTTTACCCGTAGCACTGGAAGCTACACTAAGTGTTCCTTCCTGGGAATGGGTAAGAAGAAATCCAAGGTAGGCTCTTCATGGTATGTAGATGGAGGTCAAAAACAAGCAGCGCACACTTCCTGCCAAAGAGGGAAAGTTAAAGCCACTGGTTGCTCTTGAGAGTGAAGTATGTCATTTTCTCTCTTGGGGAAGCTGCTGAGTTACTTGAAGATGGGGAGTTTATTTTTTATTTTTTTGAGTATTGGGATGTCAAGCTGTCAATAGCCATCATTTTCTCTTTGTCTTTAGAAAACAAATCACATGATTCTGAATATCAAATCCATGAATTGTAGTTTTGTTTAAAGCCTAATTCACAGTGGTGCTGATTGTAATAACCACTATTGGGCGGGTGGTGTCCCCATATGCCTGTCTGTTGCCATGCCAATGAGTAACTGAAGCAGTGACATCTCTTTGAGCATGCTCTATACGGCTGTAGAGCGCGCGCCACAGTTGTGCAGACACTTTGTATATCGGGTGAGGGAGGGTTTTCTAGATTTTGGGGGAGGGTAAATTGGGATTTTTTTCTTTCTTTCTTTCTTGGTGAGTTGGGAAGTATAGTGTTCAGTCATGCCCTAAAGATAACATGTACAAAACCCTGAAGAGTGTGGGTGTGGGTATGTGTGAGTGTGTGTAAATGGCAATTAAAACTTTGTCTTCTGGAAGTTAGTGAATTCACTTTCTTGTGGAAGTATTTGTTACAAAATTTGTAAATAAGAGCTCTACATAGTCAGTTTACCATGAACATGTTGCAACAAACCTTACATGCTTAATTCCTGCGAGGCATGACTTGCCAGGTTACGGCAGCAGCCACAATCTCAATAATTGTTTGCCTTGATTAATCTTTTAATCTTCATTTGCCAGTCTATAAGCTCCCAGTCTTCCTCAATTTTAGTCCTTAATCTTTCATATTCAGAACAGGAAAGGTCAGAGAGCTAGCTTAACTGTATGGTAGGCTATGGGCTGAGATCCAGGCACCCTTTTTTTCATTTTGCAGTGTGGCTAGATACATGATCGGACATCAGAGGGTTGGGCATTCTTGCAATACCTTAGCAGTGCTGAAATACACAGCATGGTACTAAGGAAGTTAAAAGTTTGAATGTAACCACTTTATTTAAAGTTTTTTTCTTTAAATGAAACCAAGTTGAAGTGAACATGATTTTGTTGACCATGTTTGTGAATTATAGATGCAACATGCATTGGTAGAATCTTGTGATGGTCTAATGTGATACTTCATTTTTACATATCCCAGTTGTATGTATCTACATAAACTCCTGCTTTGCTCTGATTGGAGGATTTCCAGGACTGCTGTCTTCTAAACTTTGTTTTAAGTATGTGTATTCTTTGCTTGTATTTTGTATTAAAAAAAAAAAAAAGTAAGGAAAAGAACCTCTTATTGTTGAGCATGTTGGCATTGTCCCCTTTATTTTTTTCTTTTTTGGGGGACATATGAAGCAAGTTATTTTCTGTATCTTTTTCTTTTCTTTTGTAAACCTTTTGGTTTGTTTTGTTTTAAAATGGCTTTATAAAAGGGCTTTTGTAACCCAGATGTGTGCTCTGTGTGCTTCTTGGGATATTCAAAGCAAATACTCTGACCCTTGTGCAGCAGTTTCCTTGGCCCATCATTACTCATGACTTGAAGGGTGAACAGCTGTTTCCCAACTTGTTTAGTGACCACCTGTGTCAAAAAAGGAAATCATATCTTCCCTCAGAAGTCAATATTTTGGAACATTGAATTAAAAGACAATAGATTGACTAATTTTTGATTAAGGGGTTGCATATGTGAGGATCCCTAATTTGCAGTTTTTCTCATCTCCAAAGTGAGTAGGGCAATTGAAGTTCAACACTCAGGTGTAAATTGTAAGATAGTGCTTATGCTCACAGAACACATTTCTATACAGTGCCAGATAACACCCCAGAACTAAGCCATGTAACAAACAAGTTACTGACAATCACATTCTGAAGGGAAAGTACCCTTCTCAGTGATAAAGAACTATAGGCCTGTCTGTGGTGTGCTCTGATGGGAACATGGTGCATGATCTCTCTTTAGCTATTTAGGCACTACCCACCCCCAGCCTTTTCTTGTATTGGCATGTCGAAAATAGCCAAATGTTTGCTGTAATTGTATCTCCCATGGGAAATATATATATATGTATATATATATATATATATATATATAGTCTGTACATAGCCCTGGCCTGGAAGCCACAATATAGGCTAGGCTAGCTTCGAACTCACAAAATCCCTATTTCCTGAGTGCTCAGATTAAAGGTATGTTTTGTTTGTTTGTTTGCTTTGGGTTTGATTTGGGTTGCTTAACCCAGGCTCTCCTAGAACTTACTCTGTAGACTATGCTGGCCTAAAACTCAGAGATCTGTCTGCCTCTGCCTCCCAAGTGCTGGGATTAAAAGTAAGTCAACCCAGGAATTGATGGCCCACACCTTTTAATACCAGCACTCGAGAGGCAGGTGGATCTCTGTGAGTTCGAGGCCAGCCTGGTGTACGGATCAAGTTCCAGGACAGCCTCCCAAAGCAATATAGAGAAACCCTGTCTTGAAAAACAAAGCAAAACAACAAAAAAAGTGACTTACTACAACCTGGCAAACTATATATATTTTTTAATTGTTTCTTACTTCCA